CACAGTTGAGCCACTACAAAGACCTTCGACATGAAAACATCGAGAGCACAAAGATCTGTTCATGGCTGGAAAAAAACAATACATTATGGCAGTCGAGCAAAGGTACTGATACGAGAGCTTGGTTAAAAAAACCATTGATCACTGTACCTCATCATCAGGCAAATCTTCACCGAGACCCCTTTGTGCAATTCGGTAATACAATATACCCATTGTGGCCATGCAAGCCCTGCACCCAAAAAACTCATTACTACTCTTATTTTTATCAAATAAAAAAAAATGAAAAAATAAAAATAAAACAGTTTCGTAAACACACAATTTAAGAGGAGAAGGATTTTTCTTACATGATAGCTATTATTAAGAGGATTTTTCTTGGATCCATTTTTGAAGACTTATGATGTCTTGCACGACCCTCTGAGGCATCATCAGCATGTGATGCATCTTTTCTTGGTGGGGCCGTCACCGGTAGAGTAGGCAACGCGCTCGACCAGAAAGGCAACAATGACCTCAGGAACTTATGACGAATAGTTCCTGCAAGAATTTTCAATAATACGCGCACACATACATATTTTTGCAATATGAATATAAAAAGTCGCACAAATGCAAATATTATTAAGCCCGAAAAGAAAATGGCTGTACTTCGGAAGAAAAAAGTTGAGTTTTGCTGAATACAGGTGTCGAGCAGGTCATTGTAAACCTAAACTATTCAGTTGTGTGCTTACATTTTAGTAAGTGAAAAGGGACAAGGAGTTTACCATCGTGAAACTTTTATTTTATAGAAGTCGTAGAATATGGGCGTTTTCGATGCAAATATATCAGCTCAAAACGCGTTTTTTTAACTAGGGTTAATTTTGAAAAAAGTTGTATGGTTAGTTGTTACTGGGATTTTGAGTTTATATTAAAATAATAAAACAACATGCCGTTAAAATTTAAAATAATTAATTAAAGTTGATTTGAGTAAATGTAGTAGAGAGATGTTGTGAAGTGATGGTTAGTTAAAATTATGTGAGTGGATGAATAATGAATTAAAGTTGATGTGATGTGTGTAACAATGATTGATTGATATTATTTAATTATATTGGATAGTGGGGTTGAGTTAAAGCTGAGTTAGATTTTGAGCATGAAATGAGAATGGATTGAAGATAGTGGGGTTGAGTTAAAATTGAGTTAGATTTTGAGCATGAAATGAGAATGGATTGAGTTACTTTATAGACAAACACACCCTAACTCACCTCTTCGCGAATATTTCTTCCTGTTTGCATCTTCGTCGTCCGCATAATATGAGACCTCAGAGTTCTGTCTTTCGACTTGCAGTGCATTTTTCCGAGTGGTAGCACCAGGCTGAAAAAAATACACAGATGTATCAACATTACATGGAAGCTACAGAAAATGCCTTTATGCCACGCAAACCAAAAGTTTAAGAAAATAATATTAATAGAATTAACAAAAAAGGAAAAAGTTGAAGATTTATTACGCCAGGTGGACTGGAGTTTTTAATAAAATTAGGCTCATGGTTGGGCAAAGATGATGTTGCTGAGCTGGGCCCGTCAATCTCCACTATATCCAAGCTTGCGGGCCTTGTAAAGCCAGTTGCAGGAGGCACAGCATCTTTTCCAGCAGATGGATGCATCAGTGGTTCCGAGGCAAATGCCGGAGGAGGATCTCGGGTCTCTGTTGCAAATGAAACTGGATGGTTGCCAAACAAGTTCTTCTCCAAACCAGTCTGCAAACAAATTTAAATCACCCCAAATAAGATTAAACCGAATAGTTATTAGAGAATGTGTGAAAGCTAGGGCAATGCCTACATATTAACTCTACTGGCATATACCTGTTCGGGAGGCTCAAGTAAATTTTCATTCACAGTGATAGCAAAAGCATATGATTTTGACTGTAGCAATGATTATTGACCACATAATTTACTGAAGAACTGAGGATGAGTGATTACCTGCATTATTGCTTCTTTCAGATTTGAATGAAGACGTGATCCAGAATCTTTGACACTTTTTGGAGGCCATATCTGCAACAAGTAGATCACTAACCTTGAGTTATGACTTTAACCAATAGAACAACTTAAGAAACACATTCTTCAAAGACATAATCTCAATCATGGTTAATAATTAAGAGCTAAAATGCTTCAGTCCAGGTCAAGTAAAATGATGACTTCTAACTTGTTACTTGTCAGCATATATCTCACAGTGTAACCAATTTCAAGATTGATGACTGATGGATATGTTCAAAGAGAGTCGCTGAGCTTATAAGTTATAACCAAGGTTCTCATAACCAGATCGGCCACTGATCGGTGATGCTACAGGTTCAATGGTTCACAGGTCCAACCGTGGTCGAACATGTCAAACTTGTATTTATTTTTTATTGATTTATATGCATAATAATAATATATAAATATATATCCTTTTTTATTCATTATGTAGTCTACACAATATATTAGATGTGGCTTAAAAAACATAATGAGAAACAAAAACAGTAAGAATTAGATTATACAATGTATTATATTTTGGTAAACAAGAGTCAGATTCAAAAGGAAATTGGAATATTACAATAGTTCAATGTCAACAGCAAGACAATATGAAATCGCCAAATTAAATTCAATCTATAAGCACAACACAGGAAGAAAGAAACAGATTCTGCATGTCTTCAAACTAATAAACAATAAATACCAACCAAAAAAAAAAAAAAAAATCAAAACGAATCTGTATAAAACTGCCAAGAAGAGGGTCGCGATGAAGACAAGCTTGAATTTACTGCCAAGAAGGGTTGACTGGCGAACATATAAATGGAAGCTTTAAACAAAATTGTAGTACCATACAGCAATCCATCTCAGTTCAGGAGTTTCAGAAAGATGGGAAAAGCAGACCCAGAAAGATGGGAAACGCAGACCCAGTAAGTGGCAGAAGGAACAAAATTTGTTTCCTCAAGAGAAAAATTCGACCATGACATGATAAATTATTTTCTATTTAAATTCAGAAGTTGTATCTGTATAAACTATCAATTATCATTTTAAACTGGGAAAGCATGTCAACTGCTCTAGCCAAATAAACAATTGTATAAAACTCTGACCATTTCCAGCGAAACAGAAGTGAGCTAGCAACCTTTCAACATTTTCATCATTTCTATATGACACCATGTCTAATTTCACCTAGAGTTTCTCCAAACTTTTTTTTTTTTTTTACTACTACTGTTTCTATTGGGTTTCATCTCTAGTCTACCCCAACTTGTTTGGGACTAAAAGGCTTTGTTGTTGTTGTTGTTGTTGCAAGATTCGGTTTGATTTTATGGGTTCTAATTGAGACAAGTTAGAATGAACTAAAATAAGAATTCTGATTTGGATTTGAATCGCTAAGGGGATGCTAGGATATAAGTTTTTTTTCTTTTTTTTGATTTTTTTGTTTGATATGGTTAATTTTTTTTAAAAAAAAAACGATATCGTTAGTCGTTAGTGGGATTTTGAGTTTATATTAAAATAATATTTAAATCTTAATTTAATATAATAATTAAAGTTAATTTGATGTAAATATAGGAAAGAGATTATTTGAAGTGATGTTTAGTTAAATTTATGTAAGTGGATGAATAGTGAATTAAAGTTGATCTAATGTGTAGAATGATTGAGTGATACTATTTAATTATACTGATAATATTGAGAATAGTGGAATTTAATTAAAGTTAAGTTAGATTAGAGTTAAAAAAATATTTCTTTTAAAAGTGATAGGATTTTTTTTGGAAAAATTTTATATCCAAGCATATGTGAATATGAATACTTGCATACCCTAATATAATCCAAATTCTCATGTATAACCCAGATATATTAAGTTAAGAAACTCAAAAATTACTCATCAGTCAAATTATAAGCAACTAGTGTTTCCAAGAAATTTATTGCGAAGAGTAGCAGGATTCCTGTTAGCAAGTTCACATTACCAACAGCAACAGTATGGGAAAATGGAATTTAGAAAAATATATAAAGCTAGTGGTGTTATTATTCGGTACAAACGAATTAAAGGTCTATGCAATGTTGAAGTTAAGGTGTAAATTGACTACAAGAAAAAAATGACGCAACCAAAATACCAAATGAAATGTCATTCTCCGCAAAACCATAACATACCGAGGTTGAACAGCCTGGACAGCCGTACCCAGCTGGTGCAGTTTGAGGAGGAAAACTCTTAATGTGCGAGACTAAGCAACTACTATGTATAACATCTGCAAAGAAAAATAACGTATTGGAAGCAAGTGGCACAAATTCAAACATTTCCAAACTAAAAACAGAGCAAGTGCGAGAAGGCCTACGCAAACAGCCCAATCTTGTCGTTTGAGGATTTGACCCCTCTTCAAACACAACTTGGCATTTGCAGCATTTAGGAGGCCAATCATACTCCCCATCAATTACCCACTCGGAGTACGTACGCACCTAAGATTATTTCATTAATTATCACTTTTGTAACATTTCCAGATTAGACATGATTAAAAAAACAGAAGCATATAACAAATAGCAAATACCACACAAATTTGGTGCTCCGGGTAGCATATACATTCTCCGCAAACAGGCACCTTGTGGACGAAGCAATACAACTTTGTCGCCTAAATCCCAAAACAGAAAACCGGAATTCATCAGCCAACATATTTGGTTAAGAACAGTGCACATCATCATCATCAACGAATTAAAACCCAAATTACAATCAAAACACCAAATGCAATCAATCTAAGACAAATTCAGTAAAACATAAAGACAGTGGCTAAGAAATAAACATAAAAATCAACCACATGCCACACTGAAAACAATAACAAAACAAAGGCCTGGCCCTAAGTGATTCCGCTCATCACATATCAACTAGCGACAGATGTATATCCAGCTGAATAACGAATTCTTAGCTGATCTGATCTAGAAATTCGGATCAATTTACTTCAAAACCCACAAGAAAAAATCGATCAGTAACCCCAAAACTGTGTGCATCGGCGCGCATACCTTGCGGCATTTGCAGACCACCATCGCGCTCGCGGGGCTCGAGTCCGGCTACGGTGCGGCCAGGCCAAGATCGAGGCTCCGTACCAAGTGACGCGTTGATTAACGTGCTTGGGCAATTCGATTCAGAGGGTTTTTAGAGCTTGATTAGAGATGAATTTATTATGCGATATGAAGGAGATCGAGTGAAGAACATAAGGTGGTGATTGTTTATAGTTTCAATAGTAAAAAAATTAGTTTTTATTTGGTTTATTTTTAACTATAGTTAATTTTGAAAAAAAGGTTGTGTGGTTAGTTGTTAGTGGATATATTAAATAATATTTAAATAAAATAATTAAAGTTTTGATTTGATTTAAAGTAGGAGAAAAATAATTGGAAGTGATAGTTAGAATTATGTGAGTGGATGAATAATGAATTAAAGTTGATGTGATGTGTAAGAATGATTGGTTGATATTATTTAATTATATTATGAATATTGAAGATAGTGGGGTAGAGTTAAAGTTGAGTTAAATTTGAGTTTTGATTGGATTTTTTACTATTGAATTTATATACAATCACACCCTAAGATTTCGAGTGTAATTACCGTTCATCTGAGCATTTTCTCACTTTCTTTATTTTCTATTTTCTATTTTATTTTATTTATTTATTTGTTTGGGTCGTGTGTATTTACAGATGGGCTCTGGAAAATGTTGATTAAGGCCTCTGTTTTATATGGGCCACTTAATACTGGATCAAAGGCAAGATGTAAGCCCAAAAAGAAGAAATTAAATGATTGTGTCAAACTTGGGAGCATATGCTATGTACTGATGCGATGCAGTCATTGGATTTTTTTTTTTTTTTTCGTTTAATAATATACACCTGTGTAGATATATATGTGTATGTGTTGATCTAAGGGATATAAACGAGTCAAGCCGAGCAAAGTTTGAGCTTAGAATGCTCGAGTTCGAACTTTTAACGAGCCTGAAATTAAACTCGAACTTGATTCTTTTAACACTAATAACGAGCTGAGTTCGAGCAACAACACTATCACACATTTTTATTTAAAAACTATTATTCATTCACATCAAATAATTTGAAGTTTGAACAGCCCAAACTAACAGAAAGAAGACAACTCGAGCACTCTACTATAAATTCAACCTGAAAAGAACCAAAAAAACAGAGTCCACCGCCGTTTGGTGCGTGTTCGAATTTGAATTTCAGAGAGACCCCCAACTCGTCTCCGGCCTTCCCTGATCTCTCGTTTTCCCCCATTTTCGAGCCCAAAGATATATCTCTACACCTCCTTCACAATTACCTCCCAAAAATTCTTCTAAAAACCCTAGCCGCCCCCTCACGCGGCGCTGACCGACGGCGACGATGACGGCGGCGCCACCACCACCAACCGGCCGCGAGCTGTCGAGCCCTCCCTCCGACGGTATTTCGAACCTCCGTTTCTCGAACAACAGCGACCACCTACTCGTTTCTTCTTGGGACAAGGTTCGCCTGGCGTGTTGGGCTTATCCAATTTCGGATCCGCGATTTGAATTTTACTTTCCTTCTGATATTCTCCTTTTTTTGATGTTTTATTGTTGTGGGTTCTGTTGTTAAGAGTGTTCGACTGTACGACGCGAGTGCCAATGTGCTGAAGGGAGAGTTTATGCACGGAGGAGGCGTGCTTGATTGCTGCTTTCACGACGACTCGTCGGGGTTTAGTGCCTCTGTTGATCACACTGTTAGAAGGTGATTCTAAGTTTTTCGTGTCAAGATAATTTTTACCTTCTATGTTTCAACTTAATTTGAATACAGTGAAGGTATTTAGCTCTTTGGTTCAAATGATAAAGGCCTCAGCTTTCAAGTTCATTTGGCAGGATTGAATACCATCTTATGTTTTTGTAATGAGGTTTTGGTACTGAGTTGAATACCAATGTTTTCACCTTTGCTGTGTCCTTTTTTTTTCTGGGGTGTTGCAATTATTAATGCGATTATTAATGGGATCGAAAAAAATGACAATTTTGTGCCTCTACACAAATGGGATTTTGTTCATTTCAGGCTTGTATTCAACTACAATAGGGAGGATATTTTGGGGAGGCACGATGCTCCTGTTCGTTGCATTGAGTACTCATACGCAACCGGTGAGTTCTCTGTTTGAAATTATGACCTTTTTATTTAAAATTTTCTATACTTATTGGGGGTGTAAACTTAGCTTGGAGACTGGCTCCTTTGGTTTGAAGATTAATCTCAGAACAAAATCATCTTCTTATTACTACTTGATGAATTTTCTTGATGAACTAACAATTTAGGCTTCATGAATTTAAACTGCGGTTGATATGCTTACGAATATCGGTGTACACTGGCAATTTGCGAAAAATCTTTCGGACTCTACACATCTAGAAACATATTTCTTTTCCACTTTTTTCCTAAAATTCTCTTTTTTCTATTTCAGGCCAAGTTATCACGGGTAGTTGGGATAAAACCATAAAGTGTTGGGACCCTAGAGGTGCAAGCGGCCAAGATCGATCTCTTGTGGGCACTTACTCCCAGCCAGAACGTGTTTACTCAATGTCCCTTGTTGGCACCCGATTGGTGATTGCAACTGCTGGAAGACACGTGAATGTTTATGACCTTCGAAACATGTCTCAACCCGAGCAACGAAGGGAGTCTTCTTTGAAGTATCAGACGAGATGTGTCCGATGTTACCCTAACGGGACAGGTGTCGTCGACCACTCGAAACTTTCTCGGGCATTACTGCATTTTACTTTATATTTTTTCAAAATTTTAATTATTTGATTAGATTTATTCCAATGTCATGGGGAGATTTAGATTATTAGATTCTGGAAAATCGATGACTTTTTTTGCAGGCTATGCTCTGAGTAGCGTGGAAGGTAGGGTTGCTATGGAATTCTTTGATCTGTCTGAAGTTGGTCAATCGAAGAAGTACGTATGAACTCATGATTTTATTTGATGATCCATTTAGAAAGAATGTGTGTACTTGATTAAATTTTTTGCATTCTGATAACTGAAATGAATGGACTTATGTTGTTTGAACTTTCTATCGATGCCAGTTGAAGGATCAACATTTTCGGATTTTCCATCCAAGAAAATGTTTAGATGGAGTATTCGGATTCTGTTAAACTCATTGTGGTCCTTTTGCAGATATGCATTTAAATGTCATAGAAAAACAGAGGCAGGAAGGGATATTGTCTACCCTGTGAATGCCATTGCATTCCACCCTATGTAAGTTTTACCCTTTTTTTCTTTTTGAGCTGTGTATGAAGTTTTTTATCCATTTAATATTATTTGACCAAAATAAATAAATAAAATTGTAGCTATGGTACTTTTGCTACGGGAGGTTGTGATGGCTATGTGAATGTGTGGGATGGAAACAACAAGAAGAGGTTGTACCAAGTAAGATACACTCGGGATTTGGGTTTTTTAATTCCGTACATCATGTACTTCTTTATGAAAAAACTTAAATTCTTTTACTAATAATTTCTCTCGAATCTCGTCTATTGTGAAGTACGCTAAGTACCCAACAAGCATTGCAGCTTTGTCGTTTAGCAGGGACGGCAAACTCTTAGCCGTTGCATCAAGCTATACATATGAAGAGGGTGAAAAACAGTAAGAATGATTTCTCTCTTCTCCCCATGACAATTCTTTGCAAAATATTTCTTTTTCAGAGTCAAACCACATTAAGAGTTATTTTTATACATTCGTAATTACATGATTTTTGTTTTTCAGACATGAGCCAGATGCCATATTTGTCCGGAGTGTGAACGAAGTTGAGGTAAAGCCGAAGCCGAAAGTGCTTCCGAATCCTGCTGCATGAAAAAATGCTTGACTCAATACTACGTTTTTATATCCCTTTTGCCGGTTTTACTCTTTTTCTTTGTTTGCCTTTTCATTTTTGTGTCGGGTTTTGTTTTCCGCTGCAAATTGTGGAGTCGTGTTATATAATCATGTTTCTCGTTGATTACACTGGATTCAGATTGATAAGATAGTTTCAAGAGATGAATGATTAATGGTTTATTTTGTGTGAGAATCTCTCATCAGTCATCTCAAAGGAACAAGAAAGTACAGTAATATGTGTAAAATTTAGTTACAAAATTTTACTTTAATGTCTGTTTGTAATATTATAGTGCAACGTGACATTTTCTAACGAGATCTAATTAGTCTTAATGTTCAAGGATTTGCTAAAAGCAAAATTTGAAATACGTGTTTTGGTTGTGAGTTTAGCTTAACGGTTAGGCATGTCGACTTGTTATATTATACAACGACAACGTATTCTTACGTTAAAATGGTCTTGTTTTGCTAGAGTTTTTTTTTTTATATATAACATATACTAAATATGTTAAAAAAAAGTTTTTAATATATTAAATATATATTTATGCAATAAAATGTCATATATTTGTTTATATTGCATTCTTATGATATGAAATTTCAACGTGAAATCGTGTAATTTTATAGAAAAAAGCATGATTTCAACTAGAATTTTAAGCTGATAAATTAACTACCCCACCAGTTGACAAAATGATAATGAATTAAATTAATATATATTTACAGCTTGTATTTTTATAGAATTTTTTGTTAAGTTCTTAGATATAATAATCTTATAACTTCATTTAGTAACTTATTTTAAGCTCGTACAAACTAATGAAATTGATTATGCTAATCAAACCGCCATAATTAACAAACTATATAGTGTACGCTTCTTAGAAATTAAATAATTCTTCTTTCACTAGTAAAAAAAAAATAAAATAAAATAAAATGGCTATTGGGCTCTGGAAATTATTCAAATTATATAAAATTTAAAGAAAAAATAAACGTGTGACTTTTTACCCCTCTTATACTAATTCAAAACGTGTTAGGCTTAATTGGCACACTCGCATGGTTTGGGATCTTATTTGCCAAACTTACATGCTTCTTTATTAGGTTTTAGTATATATTAATTTACTTTAAATCCAAAAATAATTAGGTCTGAATTATCCATACATATGTTGATTATTTATGGTCATGTTGTATTAATTGCATTTTAATATCATTTCTTTATGAAAAATGCTACAAGTACATAATAAATGTACATAGAGGTGTGCATAACACTCACAAAGAGTGGGGTCCACTTAAATTTTTATTTTTGGTGGGTCCCACTCAATGTGAGTGTTATGTACATCCCTATGTACAATATTTTATACTTGTAGCATTACTCTTTCTTATTATAACCATTGAATTGTAAATGTATTTTAAAATGTAATAACTTTTGTATTTTTTATCAGTTTTACATATATAATTTATCAAATTAATCAGCTCTTGATGAGTTTCGATTTAACATCCATATTATTTTTATCAGTTTCACATATTATAGAAGTATGTCAATTAGGCTCAACGCATTCTGCAATTATATATAGGGTGGATTGTATTTATAAAAAATTAAATTATATTTATCTTTATAACAATATTAAAATTATATTTTAATATTAATTAGAAAAATAAATTTATTTATCATCTAATATATTTGTATTTCAAGTAATAACATGATATAAATTATAAAAATTACTATAATATAACACACGTAAGTCACACAAGTAACAAGTGTCATTCTAAAATATATAGTAATATATATCTTTTGTAAAAAAAAGTAAATAAAATATACAATAATTTTTATCATTAATTTTAAAATTTAAGAAAAATATTTTTTATAACAAGTACTCGTGTAATTCACAGGTGTTGTATTTATTTTCCGAGTAATTTTTGGGCACGTGCAGAATTATGAAAAAGATGGAGCTAATAATCGGACTTTGATAGGTGTCAATAGCCACCAAAGTAGGACCATAACATTGTCTATTAATTAGAAGAAACAAAAACAAATATATAAAGTTTTTCTCACATGGAATTTGCTACTAATTGATATTTTTAGCTACTGTATTCCAAAGTTTTGAGTTTGACTAAACATATATTTTTTTTTTATGCTAATTGTGAAGAAATTGTTTTAATTATTAAATTAATTTGATGATGACAAGTCGATAACGTACCAATCTTAGCAAGTGAAAGTCAAGTCATGACCAAACTTACATAGTACATTTTATTGAGCTTTAATTTGGGAACATTAGGCGTAAGCCATCACGTTTTGACGGTCCACTAGTACATTACCCGTGTGTTGTACTATACGGGCGTTGAATTAAGAAATATATGATAAAAGTTACTGTTAAAATTAATTTATTATTTAAAAATTTTGATGGACTGATTGATGAAAAAACAAGAGAAATAGACAGTGTACAAAGTGATTTGTAAATCGTAATTTATGAGAGAAATATGAGAGAAAGTTATAATATGATAAGATTGTTACTTGCCCAAGAAAGAAATGTGTACTAAGAGAAAAAAAAAACAAAATTAAATACACTTACCAAGTTTGAAAAAAGTTATTTACATCTAATATTAAATCTAATTTCAGAGCAAAAATAATATAAACAACATTATACGCATAAATTTTCGTCATGTCAACATCGAAAGCGTAAAAATTTGTCACTTGTAGGCTCAACATGTTTTGAATTAATATATAAGGAGAGAGACAAAAAAAAAACAAAAACAAAAAAAAAAAACTTTTTGCCTTGAAAAATAATACTTGCATCTTGAAACACTATATCTTTATTTATATTATTTTATTAATCATGGTAATTCGTTATAAAAAATTTTATATTTTTCAGAAAGTAGTCGTTAAGGATTAAGTTTGCTAACGACAACATATTCTATTTTTATATTTTATTTACGCAACTAACTATATATGTGGCGTTATGGAACAACATAATACATTCAGAGTGGTCAAACAAAACAAGCAACTAGTAAACTCGGTTCGGTTTGCCACAAGCTTGAGTTCGTTCGTTAGACTTGGTAAATTGAAATTTTTTTCTAACTTTTAAAATTTTTATCATATACCGATTCATTAACAAGCCGAACACGAGCCCTCACTTATTAAATCGTCAATTTAATGAACTGAAATTGGCTCTATTCGATAAGAATTTGAGTTTGAGTTCGAACATTAGGAGCTCGAGTTCGGCTCATGCTCCTTTACATTATGAGTGGTCCAATCACTTTACTGGATTAAATAAATTATTTAATCTCTTGTGGTGACCAATTATGAGGTGGCTTTGCGTAATTGCTATCCTAATTAATCATACTTCACAATTCTACCTTGTTAGAAACCAGATAAGACTTAAATAAAATAATTAAAATACATGGGGACTTCAATTTTCACATTTTTTTTTTTTAAATATGTGATGGCTATTGAAATTTTCAAACGAGTACAACTAGTCCACTTGTCACTTGTTTCAACTGTTTACTAAAATCAAATGTATAAATTGGTAAGTAGAACACTATATAGTATATATATGTTAATCATGTACTTTATAATTATTTTATAAAAAATACTAATACAAGTTTTATTTTTAAAAGCCTATTATTTTCTCTTAGACTCCTTGATGAAGACTCGCAAAAGTACCTTGCTCGAGGTTTATTGATACACTCAGGGTCCGTTTGGTTGACATGATTGTACGTGATAGGTGTCACACACTTTTATGATGTTTTCATCTTATTAAAACATTTGTTTGTAATAAATTGGCCTTTTATGACATTTTCATCTTATTAAAACATTTTGTTTCTAATAAATTGGCCTCGATCTCACATAGAGTTCTTCTATTTAATAAATAACACATTATATTTGATTGCGGGGATTGATCGAGTTCTATCAATGAAAGTAGCAAGATATTTAATTATGGGAATTAATCAAGCTCAATCAATAAAAATAACCAAAAACTAGCGTTCAACGAAAATAAAACAAAAAATATTATAACTCTATCTCACAATATTTATTTGTTGTATGGTTGCTGCAAACGAGTCGAGCCGCTCGCGAGAGCTCAAGTCAAAGCTCGGCTCGAGCTCGAGTTTGACCGAACTTGAGCGGCACGAGCACGAACTCGAGTCGAGCTCGAGCCCATATTTTACATTGTCGAGCGGCTCGAGATATATGAAATTACTAAAATATCCTTGTATATATATGTATTTAATGGTTATTTTACAAATTTGCTTGAAAAAATTCGAACCGAACTCGAGCCGAGCTCGAGCATTTTTTGAATTCGAGTCGAGCTCGAGCCCCATAAATCGAACTCGACGAGCTCGAGCAGCTAAAAAAAAAAATCAATCATGCTCGATAAGGTCAATGCTCGACTCGGCTCGGCTCGGCTCATTTGCAACCCTAGTTGTATCACTTTACTTTTCTAAAAGTAAATATTCTACATTTTAAAACAATTTATTTTGTTTATTCTCAATGAAAATTTTGAGCACGTTATTATTAGAAAGATGACAAATTAATTTCACACTTTTCGTGTTGTCTTTTTTCCTATATCAACTAGTACGTACCCCGTGCAATGCACGGGACATAGATATTAAATGAATTATTTTCAGACGACTATGTTCGTTTAAGTCTAAAAATTAATAGGGTTATCATATATTTTTCACTTGTATATTAGGGCTAGCTTGTAAAGTAATTAATATATTATCTATACATATTTAATTCTTTTTTTTTATCGGTTATACATATTTATTTTTTTAATTTGAAAAAAAAAAAGGTTTGGCCAATTGAGTATTAAATCAGCACTAATTAATTTATTAAGCAAGTAAAGACGCGAAGCAAGACAATCTAATTATCCAACAATTTAGGGTAATATATAGTTATTTCCTTTATTAAACATGATTTTTAAAAATAAAACAACATCATCCCCAAATAATAGGCAACATTCATGGTTTTGTTGAAAACCAAAATAACAAAATCCTTAATTA